GACAGGAGGTTCAGGGAAGCAGAGCTGAGAGAGGTGGAGCTATTTAGAAGCATGATAACTGTAACCCGTTTGTGTGCGCTCGAGCGGGTTAATGTGGTGCACTTGCCGAGTGTCCCCATTGAGTTTAATGGGGCCTGCGTGTGAGACAAACGCTGCAAACAAGCTCATGTAGTATATTTTGCGACACATGTTCATTGAACAACAATGTGCATCTTCCTGACCAAGTTTAGGGTGCCATAGAAATCGAGGGGAAAAGCAAGCGCATTTTGCTACATTTCCATCAACACTCACCAAACACGCAGGAAAACATGTACCTTGGTGCACGTTCATGGAACACACAGGTATGAATGCGGGCTTCGTGCTTGGGGAATCAATATAAAGTTATACTTTGCTGGGCAATATATATTTGTTTGTTCGGGATTCTTTACTGGAAAAAAAAAACACATTATTATTACAATTGAAACAAAAATTTCACAACCTAGGTTGTAGTGGGGTTTTAAAGAGGCGTCAGAAGGTTATCGATTGATATAAATTTATTACAATTCATTAAAAATATTACATAACAAGGTTAAAATTAATTCTGGTTGATAAGCATGATTCTCAAGTCCTAAATTCTTGCCTAATTCTCACAATTCATGTATTCACATATTGTCATTCATAATATATACATCTCATTTTATCACATAATTCATGTGCAGTAATTAACTGCTCCAATTCATCCGGCGCGTTTCGCTTGTAAGCTTCCTCAGGGAGTTTTATTCCCGAAAGGAATCTGGTTATGAAAAGATAATTCATTGTTTAGCGGTATGTCCATCAATAAACCATACTTTATAAATCTGTGTACTCTGTTCAGCTGAACATGTTTCCTCCTTAAAAGGAGGACTATGAGGTGAGTGTTTTCACTCACCTCATAGTTCTCGCCGACCTGCGACAATGAGACTGTCACAGGTCGGCTCAGTAGATCGGGAGGTGAGCGAACACATACCGGCGTTCACTCACCTCTCGATCCTGTCACAGCTCTCTGCCGCGGCAGGGGAGGGCTGGATTCCCCTCTCCCCGCTCCGATCCGCCAGCGCTGACTGGCGGAACGGACGGTGGAGGGGGCGGATACAGCTGGCTCTGCCTCTAGATAGGCAGAGCCAGCTGTCACTCATGCAGCTGGGCGGAACCCGACACAATTGTCGGGATCCGCTTCAGCTGCGGCGTCTCATTATACCGCGAGCAGCAGCTCGCGGTATACTGCGCCTATGGTGACGGGAGGACGCTAGTTTGTGTCCTCCCGTTACCCTAAGGAGAACTATGGGGAAAAGCCTTAACCCCATAGTTCTCCTTTAATATAACTTAACTATGCTGCCACTCACCCCAGACTCCGGGATCGTCCAAGGACCTACTTCCAGGAAGACAGGATAATAATCCAGCCCTCCCCAGAGTTTTCATGCAGCGGAGCCACAGATGCACACTAAGACCGACTGGAGTCCTGATATCTACAACATAGCCATAATCATTTAGTTACTATTTATTCTTTGTTTATTTATTGTTCTTGTATTCATTTATGGAGAAAAAATATTTTATCCCTAATCATCACCCAAAACTATCACCCAAAATAAATAAAGTGCCATTGTGCTTAGTGTTCCTTGTTTCCTCCTTATTGTGTATCTCTTATTTATAAACCCTTTTATTTTAGTGTTCCCATGTGCCTTCATTGGTGATAAACAATCAATTTCATAAAATGACTTTAGATATTTCTCTATTATATATATGTCCAAACATCAATTATAATTCCTATTTTTACAATATAAAATTGTCCACATTTATATATTCCCACTAAAAACTGTGATTTAGTCATACCATTCAACCACTGCAAGTGTGTTTCACATTTACCCCTCTATTTGTTACCAGTGCCCATAAAATTGATCTTTTTGAACAACAAAGTTACCTTTTCAGTCTTAGAATGTTGATTCCTCTTTGTCTCTTTTACCAGTCCTGTCTTAAGTTTATCTCCATGTGGGTCCTCCGGCTCTCCCTTCATGTTTGACTCCCCCGTCCTTATATGCACATCCACCCCCCGGTTAATCCACGCCCGAACGACGTGTGACATCGCCGGGGGGCGTGGCACCTAGGCGCAGCGACCCAGTTTCCTGTGGTACTTCCGGCGTTGGTCTGTTGCTAGGCAACATAAGAGGTCCGGTGGAGCTCCATTATTACTACTATATTATTATACAGGATTTATATAGTGCCAACAGTCTGCGCAGCGCTTTACAAGGAAGACAATACAAATCAAGACAAGATGGTTAGGAGGGCCCTGCCCCTGAGAGCTTACAGTCTTTTTGTTTTAGGAAAAGTAAATATCAGTTTTCAATTACTGCAACCCCACTTGGGAGATTTCATCTCACTTCCTGCCCCTGTGACAGCAGTAATAAAAAATATTAGGGGAGGGTTTGTGACTTGACAGGAAGACATTATTCATAGCCTGTCATGGATTTTAAAGTAGTGGTGAGCTTAAGGAGATGGGCGTTAATCATGTTTTTAAGAGCTGTCCAACAGTGTCAAAGATTTCTAGCCGTCGGGAAAATTATAAACCCCTCTACATGCCGGAGTGCATTATAAAGAATATCTCTGCCAATAATAGAGGCAGACAGTTAGCACATGTGTCTGTGACTTTACCACAGAAAAATCCTTTTCACAAAAGCACATTTAAAGATCAGGCTGTCATGTTGCTGGAGTGATTTATTTTTTGTCGTGTTGTATTGCAACCAGTTATCCATTGGCCAGTCATCCATCACAGTGCAGTCAGGTAAGGGCCAATGAGGAAATACATTTTGGTTTGGGATGGGTCTTCCCTCTATCTTGTTCCAAAGGGTTGTGGACCTGAGGGATGAAAGACACATTTTCACCTAGCCATACACAGGGCTGTAACGTTTCTTAGTGACTTCTTCTAGTGTTTCTTTGTGGTGCTGGTAACTAATATCTGATTGATATTTTGTTTTCCTTTTCTGTCTATTGCCTGTCCCAAGTAGTGCACATTCTTCTGAAAATGACAAATATCACCTTCCCAATACAGTTGGCTCAGAAGTGGGCAAATTCAAATGCTCCTGTGGGTAAAGATTCCTTGAGAAAGCTTAGCCTACCAGTAATCAACACACAGAGGATCCACTGGCTGTTGTGTGTAGTTGAAACATATATATGCTGAAATAATAACCAAATATAATAACTATTTCTGATTTTAAGTATAACAAGTTATCTTTTCCTTTTCACTCCCAATACACCAGCACGCGTCAACTGCTATTTCTCCACAAGGTGGCAGTACAGAGTCAGAAATGCTTTTTACAATAAAGAAACATGGGAAAGTGCTGCCCTCTTGTGAAATGTTCAACAAACCTTGGAGAATCCAAGATGTTCACTGACCTAGAAAAGATGCAGAGCTCATGAATTAAAATGCACACTGTAAAGGAAACTTTCTAGGAAATTTTTTAGTGTATATAAAACAGGAATTTATTAAGCAGTTTGCCTACAAAATCAGGAGCCCGTGGCATGGAAATAAAAGCGGATTTGCATTTAGCAAAAGGATTTGTGTGCAAATATCCCTGTACCCACAATCGTGGAACATTAACAACTTTGAAAACATCCGTGGCATATTTTGTCATTGCCCTTGGTGGCATTTCTTTCACTTAAAGAACTCCAGGATTTTTTTTTAATTATTAACCCTTGTAGTGGGGCTACATCCACACTGAGGGTTCAGTGCTCGTTTTGTGTCTAGGTGCTAAAACAACAAAGTTATGGGGGGGGGGGATTAAAAAAATCCTGGGAGAATGTGCTTTGCTCATGTAAAGTATTGGTTTAACTGTAATCCACCCACCACCCCCCCTGCAGCAGCATATACATGGCTAGCTTCGTAACAGTTGCAAGAGGTCCCAGTTTTATTGAACACAGTGCCGAAAGTGATTGCAGGTCAAATGTTTATCCTTTCTGTGAGAGTTAACCTATTCACTACACATGAGCTGGTACAGGTCATCTGTGAGTTTTCTCTTTAGCTAGAACGTGGCTTCCTTTTGCGAGAATAGAGGTATTACCTCTGTATGGCAGCAGAACACCCCACATAGGCATCTTTCTGGTGGTAATGAGAGCAACGTAGATAACTTTCCCCTATTCCTTCTGAGAGAGACCATACACCAGGGGTCTCAAACTCAATTCACATGGGGGGGGGGGGGGGCCCCGAGGTTGTGGTTGGATTCAG